AGTAGCTTGAATCATTTGTACACAAAATGACACCCCTTGACACGAAAAGGTTTGCATTTTCTGACTCCCCGTACAGGAAGTCTAATCTGCTGTCACCAACACATACAAGCTTTGTCTGTTTGAAAAGTTTGTTGCCTTTTTCTATGTTTCTATGACACACTGAGACAGCTGTGTCTCATTCCAATGTGTTCCAATGCTTTTCCTTAAAATCACATCAAGTACTATTAACAAACAAAGGCAGCTTAAAAAAAAAAAAAGCTTAAAATAACTTTAAAAAGTCAAGGATACTTTTTTTCCCTTTTTTTTTTTTCTCTTTTGGGATATCTACCTTGATCTGCTACTTCTAAATCTAATGCTCAGGAAGACATTAACCAGTTAAGAATAGATGTATTCTTCATAAGCTGCCATATAAATGACAGCTGTGAATTTATTCATCTTAGTTTCTCCCTTCTTTTGGTCCAGTTTTGCAGTTTATTCCTACAATATCTATGTTTACTTCTTTAGGTATTAATTTTATCAAATTCAACTTTCCTCATAATATGCCTGAGAACAACAATCCACTAAGTGAAGTTTGCATATCTTCTTACCCTGACAGCACCTTTTCTAACTACTTAAAAATCAGCATTAAGATGCAAAAGTGAGAGGATGAATTTGATGACAAAAGGGATTTCCATCTAATTTCCATGGCACCACATTTTATAGATAGTATTATGTTCAATGCATTAAGAATGCATTGTAACAAACTTAGCCGCTCTCTTCTGGGAACATGGTAGGAAAACACTGAATATAGTTCCAGTAAAACAAGAAATATTTGTTTTTCATATCATGAGGCTTTCTGTAGGAATGATCAAGAAAATGTCAAGATAAATTTTAAGCCGATGCTTCAATCTGACAGTTTGTGATCCCAGATGTGGATAAATAAATAGTTATTTTGATTAAGAACATAGTTACTTTGTAAGCTATTGGAATATAACCCCTTTATGTACTGGGGACCAAGCTACTATATTAATCACTGAATAATGACAGTTTGTTTTAAGAAATATAAACAAAGAAGAAATGTATCTTTTTATCCTGAAAAAGATGTTTAAAAGTAAATAAAACTAATAAATATTTAAATTCATTTGCTTAATTAAACACTGCATAATAGTTCAAATGCAAAAGGAAAAGGAGGGAAGTATACATTAACATCCTTGGTTTTGGTATTTCCCAAATCTTACCTGCTTAGCTGTTTGAACTGAGCATTAGTTTAACTCTTGTTTTTTGTTTAAAAGATAAATAAAATCAGATGGTAAAGAAATATACCTAAATCTGTCTCTCCAGGAGTGACTGAGAAGTACAAAGATATTTTTAGAAGGAACAAGCCAAGTTCTTCAACTCTTGCAGGAGCAGCTGTGGAATAATCCCAGGATACTAGCAATGGACCGCCCATATGAATTATGTTAATTAAGGTGAATTATCAAATCCTTCCCAGTTAGACTGACAATGTCATGGTTTGAACAGATTGCTTTTAGAGAAAAAATGTAATTTACTCAAAATTACATAGGTGAGGAGATAGCTGAAATCCTGTTGCGCATTTCTCTGTGGTGGTGGATGGCTGTTTTTTGCAGTTAATCCAGAGGGATTTTAAACTAGTTTGGGCACCTTTGGGCTTCCCAGTAGCTGAGGTGGGACAATATGCATGGTAGGCTACAAGCTCATTGAGGAAGGCATCCAGCTTCTTCTGCACTCTGAATGTTTTCCCAATACAGCGATGCTGCTCTCACCACCACCACATTAATTTTTAATGTTTGTGCTTAAAAATGTCTATGATGGTGGCCCATAGATAGAAGACCTTGTCGTTTAAAATCAAAGCTACTTTTTAAGTCCAATATGTATGCAAGATCCAAGAGTCAGATGCACTTGTAGCTAGATGTTTAATTCCCACTAATATCAAAAACAAGAATAGTCACTTATGAGTGGAGACCCTGGCAACCAACACAAACATCAGCTTTTACACAAATGTACATCAACTCAGAGATTTTTTCATGACATTAAATTTCCTTTCAAGTATAACTTTTGACTATGGGAAGGAGTACCAAAGCAAGCAGAACAATATTTCTCTCCAGTAAGGGGTTTTATACATTTTTACTTAAGGTAACTTATGGTGTATGATTTTAGAGTTTTTAATCTATGTGTCATTTGTTCAGAAGAAATCCTCAATCCCATTTTACAAACTCTACCCATATTAATAAAATAAACCACTTTTGGAAGTTGTTTATAGCATATGAACTAGCCATCCAAAAAACTCATACTTGACTGCTTTCTGAATATAACATGGTTCCTGCAGACTGTAATCACACTGCATCCTGATGCTTGTTTTAAAAAGCTTTTTTTTTAAGACTCTGGGCATGGCAGAGAGTCACACACATTTGCTCAGCAGAATTGAATGTTACCTTTAAGCTTATTTTAGCCAAATTAATATAATTGCTGGGATCATTTAGATACTTTTTCTCTATGCTCCATCTCTACTCAAAAGAGAAAGAGCAACTTCACATTCAGACATACATTGCCTTAAATTTTCTGCCTTTTGTCCTCAATAAACCTCCATGTTTTGGGGGGTTTGGTTGGTTGGTTTTGGTTTGGGTTTTGTTTGTTTGTTTTTCGGTTTGGGAAGGTTTTTGTTTTGCTTTTTTTTTGTTAAGTAAGTCTCATATTCAAAGCACTAGATTCGTATTTAAGCATAAGTTCCATTCACCTCAGTGGGTCTAGATGGGATTTTTGCCTCAGGTAAGACTAGAAGATGCAGACCTGACATTCATGTGTTTTGACAAGAACATCTTCACACATTTTCAGTTCTTCAGTGCTGACAGTATTGATCTTTTTTCCCCCCTACATACAATCAACTCAGTGCATTGAATATTTAATAATACAGGTGATATAAGGACCCATTGTCTGACTCACATAAATAACATAATAATTGAAGACAAATCTTCCTTTTCTATAGTGTATGCAAGGCTAAATGAATTTTAAAAATCCCATATATATCAGTGGTAATGTAAAAGAAGCTAGAATAAAATGGATATTTGGAAAAAAAGAATCAATTTTTCAATTTTAAAATATTTTGCTGCCACCTTATGGAATTGAATAAATGTGCATCTCAGTGGTTTGTAAAAGGGACACAATTTAGCCTTCAACAGCAAACACTAACATCATTACAGAGAAAGAATATATTCATTTCTTCTTTATTCCTTTTTAAATTCTTAACAAGTATGTCTGGTTTCACCTTTCACAGAGAGATGGAATAGCACAGATTGAATTTTAAGGCTTTCACATGTGAATAAAATAGAAGAAAAAAAACATGCATCAAGCATAATTCTCAACAAATGCCAAATGCCATGAAAAATCAGCAGATCAAGCATTATTTGGTCAAAAACAAATACAAGTAAACAAAGCAAGGAGCTGCTCACAGACGAGACCTAAATATCAATTAATCACTGACAGGTAATTGTTAGTTTAAATCCAAGGTTACTTGTTAGAACTCAGGGCCTCTTTCCCTCAGGTGTGTTGCGGCCTTTGCATAACTGCATTGCTTTTAAAATATAACTCTACATAAATAAACAAGGGGAAAACAAGTCCTAAGGCTCTAGGCTCTGTCCTACATATTCTCTCCCTGTTTCTGTCAGAGAGATTTTCTTCTGTACAACTTACAAAAATGCAATGCATTTTGGGGAAGATATTAATACATGCAAATATACCACCAGTAGAGAGAATATGTCAGAAGTTCTTTATTGTCACTAAGACAACTGGAGCACTAATCTTATTTTAGAAAAGGAGTGATCAGAAGCATTTAACCTGGAGAAAGAATAGAAATGTCCATATCTGCAAATGATCATGAAGTTGACAGCTTTCCTTCGATGCAAGAGATCCATATTCCTAGAGAACCCTGGGATTCAGGTGCCTCCATCATGGCTAGTGCAGGGGACAGGTGACCTCCAGGTCAGCCAGCTTTGCAGGGACCCGTGCTGCTTGGGAGTGTGTCTGGTCACCTGAGGGCCGGGCCTTGCCAGGTGTATTGCACAGCCACCCTTTGGGGAAATAGAAGTCGGAGTATTAGGAGGTGCAAGCACCAGGTGATTTACACCAACATATGTCATTTAAATTAACACACAGGTGCTATGAGATCTTTATTCCAGAAAGCACTGAAAGGAGTATGTTTCTTTTGGACAGCACTCAAATCATAGGCGGGAAGTTTTTGGACAGTGACCTGACTGACTGCAAGAGCGGGGCTGATGAACCTGTGTTAGCTCTGTTCCGAGCCGTGCACGTATGGAGGTGCACCTTGTGGGAATAGGGCCATATGCAGGACAGCAAACCCTGTCATCCACTGGTCAGATTATGTGACTAATACGCCTGTTCTAGAACAAGCAGCAGTCACAAGCATTGAGGCCATGTTGCTGAGAACACAGCTGCACTGGGCAGGGCACATCTCAAGGATGAAGGACCACCGTCTCCCTAAGATCTTGCTCTATGGTGAACTTGCCACCAGCTGCCGCAAGAGAGGAGCCCCGAAGAGAAGATACAAGGACTCCCTGAAACAACATCTCAGCCTTGGCCATATTGATCAACATAACTGGTCTACTCTGACCTCAAATCGGGAGGCCTGGAGACACACCATCTATAACGCTGCCGTTTCCTTTGAGAACACACGCAGGATCACTCTTGAGGAGAAAAGACAACGCAGAAAGAATCGTGTCTTGCTGAACATACCACCTAAGGAGTCTTTCTGCTGTGCCTTTTGCAACCGGACATGTCTGTCTCGTATTGGCCTTTTTAGCCACCAGCGTGCTTGTAACAAAAGTGGAGAAAGCCTTCCTAAATGTTCGTTCGCGAAGCCTGGCCACGATGATGAATGAAATGAAAACCCTGTCAGTTTCAGCCGGTCCCTGCAGGGCGCGGGTGCAGCGTGGCTGTGGCCCGCGTAAGGAAGTGGCGCTGCGGCCACACGCGGCTGGGACCGATTAATGAAGGGACTCGCCGGCGCGGCCGTTGCCGGGCGACGGGCGGGGCCGGGCCCGGGGCTCTCGCCGGGGCTCTCGGAGGGCAGGACGGCGGCCTCGGGCACTGCGAGGCGGCAGCGAGACGCCGCCGCCATGTCGGGGGCGGGCGCGGCCGACTGGGTGGCGCAGGTGAGCGGCGGCGGGGGTACAGGCTGCGGGGAGCGGGGTTTGCGAGTGGGTTTCTGTCTCTGGTAATACACTAATTCGCTGTTAAAGCCAGCACACTCACAAAAATGCGCTCTGCTGTCAAAGTGAAAGCGGGGAAGCAGGGAACTGTGTGTGGACGCCAGGAGCGGCGGCTCCGAGGCGGGAGCAGCCCGGCTACCCCGCTCCAGACAGCGCTGGCCACCAGCAGGTGCCTCGGGAAGCGCCTCAGACCCGCGTCAAAACACCCGCTCCCCAGCTTTCGGTGGTTTGGGCTCAGGGTCTTGAGTCTTGAGATGATGCTGCATTTCTTGATGTATTTTTCATCTATGAGTAAGGCCAGTGGCTTTAAGAACCCACTTAAACGTGACGTGTTCAGGATGTCCTGCAGCAGAGAGTCCAAAATATGTGAAGTTCTTCCATTGTTTTGAACGTGTCACCTGCTTCAGGCTCTTGCTCTGCGACAGTCAGTGAAGAGGTGGTCCGTGCTCACCTGCTCTCACAGACTCTTCTTTTGTGCTCTTGCTGATCAAAACATACAAAAGGGGGCGAAAGTGTCACATGATGATAGTCATAATTGCCAGAAATAGAAAAGGGATTTGCAAGATATGTTTCTTATGAAGAAGAAATATAAATTAATACATGGAGATTTGGGATTGATTTTTTAACACAGAAATATTGGGGGAATGGTGATAGAATAGAAGCACTATCCTTCACAATAATTATCAGTTAAACAGGCTTAACTGTGTTGCTTAGTTTTACTTATGTACGTGTGGGAGGGGGGAATTAGTGATGAACTTTTTCAATTAAATCTTCCCTTCTGTGCAAAATTTATTTGTGAAACCATTTCAGAATGAGCTGCAGGAAGCGATTTCTGCTCATGCATCAAGTGAGCAAACAGATGAGTACTCGGACGACTTTGAGAGTGATGAAGATGGCATGTTAAATGGTAAAACAGAATTAAATATTTTTCCTTGTGTTCTTCCTCTTCTTGACTCATTGCTATAGCCCAGCAAATCTTTGTGAGTCAATATGATTTAATGTTCCAAGATTTCATATTTTAGCAACTTCTAAATCACTGAGTCCTCTTCTAAGTTAGGAGCAGAATTCCCAATGAAATCAGTGGTGGTGCCAACCTGCTAGACCAGACACAGTCTGTACTGGTTTCTACCATTGTGATGCCCAGTTCTCCTCCATAGCCATCTGTAGTAGTGCACATACTGTGAATGAAAGTGAACATGAGCGGAGAGAAAGCCCTGTTTTTTACTTCCTGTTTTCCCAGTCTGGACAATCAGTGAATAATGGCTTCAGGACACACTGCAGAGCATACTTCCCTGGCAGTGTACACAAACCATAAATAGTTTTGATCTAGCTGTTTTTCTTGGGCCAGGATGCATTTGATGTTTGCTAATTGTATTGAGTTTGCATGGCCAGGTTTTTGTCGCGGAGGGGCTACAGGGGTGGCTTCTGTGAGAAGCTGCCAGAAGCTTCCTCCGTGTCCGGCAGAGCAAATGCCAGGCTGCTCCAAGACAGACCCGCCACTGGCCAAGGCTGGACCGGTCAGAAATGGTGGTAATGCCTCTGTGATAACATGTTTAAGAAGGAAAGAAAAGTTATTGTGCAGATGTAATTGTGGCCAGAGAAGAGTGAGAATATGTGAGAGGAACAACTATGCAGACACCAAGATCAGTGCAGAGGGAGGGGGAGGAAGTGCTTCAGATGACAGAGGTGAGATTCCCCTGCAGCCTGTGGTGAAGACCATGGTGAGAACAGGCTGTGCTCCTGCAGCCCATGCAGAGATCCTGCAGCCCATGGAGGAGACCCACACCAGAGTGGGTGAATGCCTGAGAGAGGGCTGTGAATCCGTTGGAAACGTGCTGGAGCAGGGTCCTGGCAGGGACCTGCAGATCCATGGAGGGAGGAAACCACACTGGAGCAGGTTTGCTGGTAGGACTTATGACCCTGTGGGGGACCCATACTGGAGCAGGCTGTGCCTGATGGACTGCACCCCATGGAAAAGTGACTCACATTGCAGCAGTTGGTGGAAAGCTGTTGCCTATGGGATGGAGTCACGCTGGAGGAATTCATGGAAAACTGTCTCCCATGGGAGGGACCCCACGCTGGAGCAGGGAAAGGACTCCTCTCCCTGACCAGCAGCAGGAAAACGTGTGATGAACTGACCGTAACCCCCACTCTCCATCTCCCTGTGTCTTTGTTGGGGGAGGAGGTAGAACTCAGGAAGGAGGGACATGTGGGGGAAAAGTGTTTCTAAGATTCATTTTACTTCTCATTATCCTGCTCTGATTTTGTTAGTAAAAAATCCAGTTAATATCCTCAAGCTGAGTCTGTTTTGCCTGTGATGTTGTTTGATGAGTGATCTCTCCCTGTCCTTAACTCATGAACCTTTGTTATATTTGCTCTCCCCTGTCCAGCTGAGAAGGGGTGTGACGGAGAGGCTTTGGTGGGTGCCTGACATCCAGCCAGGGTGAACCCACTACTACTTTATGTTTAGTCTAACAAGATCGGCCAAATAACTCTTTTTCTTCCTGATTTGACACTGCATGTTAAGGAAAATAGGAATTTTAAAAGGACTTCCTCTGTATC